ATTTTGAGCATAACCTTGCTAGCATGGGAAATGAGTGCAATTGTTTGGTAGTTGGAGCATTCTTTGGCACTGCCCGTCTTTGGGATTGGGATGTAGACTGATATTTTCCAGTCCTCTGGCCACTGTTGAGTTTTCCAAACTTGCTGGCATATTGAATGTAGCACCTTAACACCGTCATCTTTTAACATATTTAATAGTTCAACTGGAATGTCTTCATCTCCACTCGCCTTGTTAGCCATGCTTTCTAAGGCCCAGTTGACTTCACTCTCCAGGATGTCTGGCTCAAGGTCAACAACCACATAATCTGCTGGGTTGTCCAGGATATCCAGATCTTTCTGGTATAATTCCTCTGTGTATTCTTGCCACCTCTTCTTGATGTCTTCTGCTTCTGTTAGGTCCCTACCATTTTTGTGCTTTATCATTGTCACTTAGGGGTGTACTCACTTTTGTTGCCAGTGGTTTAGACATTAATAGCTGTGTGTTGCAATCTTTTGAGGGGGCAGCACATTTACACTGTTGTACAAGCTGGGACTCATTGCTTTACATTGTAGCCAAGTGTCATTTCTTCAGTGTTGTCACATGAAAAGATATACTGAAATATTTATGAAATGTGAGGAGGTGTACTCACTTCTGTGATATACTGTAGGTCAGAATCCTATTGGTGTTCTCATAGGGTTTATATAACATGCTGCAGTTAATTATGGCTAATTGACAAGGTACTAAGGCACATTATGGTGGCATGCCTGGTCATTTCATCAAAATTCTATCTTACAAGAGAAAATGAAAAGTAAACACCCCTACTTTAAAATGTAAATCATCACCAATAATTATCATAAAGAACATGGAAAGTACTTGGAGCTCAAAATTTCTTTTAGTGGATTTTCCAGATGCAAAATGTCTCTATTTCATTTCAAATTACTGTCAATATGGGTTTTCCATATGAAACCAGTGACCTCTGTGCAGCTGGGGAACTCTGCAATGAGGCCTTCTCAGTCATTCCTATGAAATATGCTATGTAAAAACATAAATACAACAATTCCTACAGAACAGGCTTTTTCATACTAATGCAAAGTGACATGGTGACTATTATTGGTCCTGCCCATGGGTAACATGCCCTGCCACGTCAAACTATAATATGAGGCAAATTAAAGTTTTAAAAGGCATTCCGATCATTGTTGTGCTGGTTGTGTTGAATCTCAACTGGAGATGTTATGTCAGGTTTAGGAGTGGATGGCTTGCTGTTTTTTTTAAAAAAAACACACACACACAATTGGATAATGCATAGGGATCTGGCAGTTCCTAATTCTGCTACTAGCTCCTTCTCCTCATCTAGTAAAAAGTTCACTTAGAAAGGTTTTCACCTCTAGCTTAGTATTAATTGTTCTAGTCTTCTTTCCATGCAATATAGATATGCATATTTACCTGTGCGGATGTCATGGTTAACACCTTCCACAGAAATAATGGCATTGGGAATTCCTTTTCCATGTTGATCCCGGACCATGCCTTTAATTCCCCGGTGCACCTGTCAATAAAATTAAATGCACAAGTTTACAAATTAGAAAATGCACAAGTTTACAACTCAGACAACAATGGAAAAAGAAATAATGCGTGCTAATATGTGAGCATGAAATACATTTTCCTCCCAAAATGGCATAATGCACCTCAGGCCAAGAACATCACACAAATAAACAAATACACTGTCTAGAAACAGTTGCAGCATAAACAAACTGAGGACAGGCGGATATGTCTATCAAGTATGGGCATGTCCAGACCGACATTTTTGGTGCAGGCTGATGTGGTTTAAATAAGATTCAGCTGAGCTCCAGGGGAAGGAATTATAGGCCACTCGGCACAATCCTCACATCCAAACAGCATCTCAACCTCAAGCAGAAGTTTAATTTTACTTCCTTTTGCTGCAGTGGCAACTTGGTCCACTTGTCATGTGGATGCTAGAAAAAGAGCAGACCCCAGCAACACATCAGATGAAGACAAATGCCCATATTATTTTACCTGAATCTTACTGGATAATTGGAAGTACCCAGCATCAAGCATAGTCTGGATCCTGAGGGAGCACCCATTTAGCTATTATTTACTAACTGCATGCATTTATCACTTGATTTTTCTCCTTTATTCAAATATGACAATGAAAATGCTTCAAAGATTATTGAAACGGTATACTTTTAAAAAGAAAATAATTCTGAAATCATCATTACACTAAGCACACATTCCTTTTTTCAGAAAATGACTTGTTGTTTAGTCGTTAAGTCGTGTCCGACTCTTCGTGACCCCGTGGACCAGAGCACTCCAGGTCCTCCTGTCTTCCACTGCCTCCCGGAGTTGGTTCAAATTCATGTTGGTCACTTCGATGACACTGTCCAGCCATCTCATCCCCTGATGTCCCCTTCTCCTCTTGCCTTCACACTTTCCTAACATCAGGGGCTTTTCCAGGGAGTCTTCTCTTCTCATGAGATGGCCAAAGTATTGGAGCCTCAGCTTCAGGATCTGTCCTTCAAGTGAGCACTCAGGGTTGATTTCCTTTAGAATGGATAGGTTTGTTCTATTTGCAGTCCAGGGGACTCTCAAGAGTCTCCTCCAGCACCACAATTCAAAAGCATTTTCTCCCCTTCACAGATTGCTGTCTTGTCCTAGTGAAGGGGCTTGAGTAATTCAGAAAAGCTATGGGCTATGCCGTGCAGAGACACCCAAGATGGGCA